ACCGAGTCGACTTCCGCCTTCCCTACTTCCACTCTCTTCCCCAACGTCACCTCCACCGAGTCCACGGTCTTCCCCTCATCCACCCTCACCCCCAACACCACGACCCTGACCATCTCGGAGCCCTCCACGACTCTGACGTCCACGTCCACCTTCTTCCCCAACGTCTCTTCCACCGAGTCGTCGGCCCTGTCCTCCTCCACCGTGGCCCCCAACGCTACCCTGACCGTCATCACCTCGGGCACCGAGACCTCGACCCTGTTCCCCACGTCGACTCTCTTCCCGAACTCGACCGCCATTGAATCCTCCACCATCACCTCCCTGACTTCCTCTGTTAGCCCTACCTTCTTCCCCAACAGCACCACCTTCACCGATGAACCTACCGTCACCATCAGCATCATCAGCTCCACCTCTACCGATGACGTGAGCTCTTCCACTTCCGCTTCCGAGACCTCTACGTCAGCATCTTCCACCGCCGATGAGTCCTCCTCAACTTCTGCCTCCGCCAGCAGCACCTCCACCTCGGACATCTCCAGCACCGCCTCATCAACCTCCGCCTCAGCCTCCTCCAGCGCAAGCAGCACCTTCGTCACAAGCACCCTGACCACAGTCACCTCCTCCTCAACCTCCTCCTCCGCAACCCCGACCTCAACAGACGTCATCGCCCGCAACCTCTGCCTCAAGGTCGCAACCGGCCCCACGCCCGGCTCCGTCGTCGCTCTCGGCTCAAACCGCTTCACAATCAAGCCAGCCGGCACCGAAGCAGCCCTCTTCGACCTGAACCTCTCCACCGGCCAGCTCTTCCAGACCAACGGCGAGCTCGTCGCCGTTCCGGCCCCTTACGCAGACGACAACCGCCCCGTCAACGGCTTCACGTCGCGCCAGACCCTGGTCCGCAAGCTCGCGCCCTTCGTCTGCGCCACAAACGGCCAGTCCCTCCTCGTCGGCGTCCCCCTCAACTGCACCGCCTCCGGCGACGACGGCGTCAACCAGAACACGTACTCGCGCTTCTTCTACAACAAGAACTCGGCCGACTCGGTCCTCCGCGTCGCGACCGCGGGTCGTCCCTTCACCAACAACAACCAGGCTATTACCCTGGCTCCCTTCAACCAGGGCGACTGCTAGATTCTTTCTTTGACCGTTCTCTGAAACTGGTTTTCTTTTTTATTTTTGCAAAACAAACGGCAGCCCACGAGGCTTGGAATCTCTGTACTTTTACCATGATTGGGCGGATTTGGGAGCCATAATCATGTACTATATACTTTGGACCCGCGTAATGGATAGCTCACTGCATACACTCGTTACAAATTGAACACTTTCTTTTCTGATACATAAGCTTTCAATGACTTTTCCTGACCGCGTCGTGACATTCCGAGTTGACAAAACGACTTGAACGCTTGCCGACGGCATCAATGGGGTTGACCAGCAAAAAGTGAATGTCAAGATTGGTGCCTTGCTGGAGAGAATACAATTCTCCCGAGCTTAAGTCTAAATTTTCGGTCCTAAAGTAATTCCGAGTAGACGGCGTTGGTATTGTGGAATTATACGATAATTCTACATGCTGGCTGACATTGCAAGTGAGTATTGACTGAACGAAATAACGTTTTCCTAATTCTTCGTTAGAAATAAACTCACGATAGGTCATCTGTTGTATCAAAGCAAAAAATGCATTTCGTAAGCGGGATACATAGAAACAAGGAATGTCAAGAGCTTGTTTACCAAGAATCCCAACTAGGCCGGCATAAATCCAGTTTCTTGACAACGATCGACTATGTGTTCCGGCCCTTCCGATCCTAGGGGTTCCGAAGGGCATTGCGGGTTTAGTTCCAACATTCATCCGATCCAGATCTCAAGAAACTTGAATCTGCCGTCACTATCCTCTTCTTGACGAAAGCAAGGTCTCATTGTTGAGCTGAGGTTCGACACGCGCGTCTGTCGTTGTCGCTCACGTGCCGCTGTTCGGCAGATTGCTGGCTCGGGCGGCGCGGGGGCCGCCGACCCGACCGGGTCCGCAATCGGCCGGGGCGCAAGATCTAAGCCGGAGGGAGCCAGCCCTGCCCCGTGGCCCGTGGGCCAGGAGGCCTTTGCAGGACATCGGAAAGCCACCCGAAAATACCTACCTCGGCACGCTTCGATCCATTCAATCTAGAATGCAATTGACAATGCCACAGTGCCGGATGACGAAGATGGCTCATCAACCGTTCGTACGCCGACGGCAGCCAATATCGGAAGGGAGACCAAAAAAAAAAAAAAAAAAGAGGCTGTGCACTGCCGTGGTTCGTAACTTCGTACAGAAGTATTCGTAGTGTGCCCACTTTCCGTAAGCATGCTTTTGATCCGTCCGGCGCCCGCCCGATCGTACCTTGATTGAGGTGTCGAAAAATAGCAGGGCAGGTGCCGCAATCGAGGCTGAAGCTTATAGCCAGATATCGAATCATTGTGACCAAGCGATCATGACGACCGAAACTTCTTTGATTGAATTCTAGCGTTGAAGCGGGAGCGGAAAAAGCTCGGGCGGGGGACTGAGAATGATGCAGAGGCTTGAAGGTGCAGGCTGCAGCTACGGATACCTAAGACGAGTTATCCTAGCTCTCACAAGAATCTTGCTACCTATTGGCTCGCAGATTTGATTTCAGCCCAGCCAACCGTCGATTGTGTGTGTCACTCGTGTCTGCACAGCTGCAGTCATAGTTGACGTTTGACGCCATTCAAAGGCTCTCGATCGAATCTTGATGCGTACAGTCAGGTAGGTCGACGGCGGCCAAACCGAGGGAAGAGATGGACGGCCACTGGGAGTTCCTAGACCCAACTCAACGGATACGCGCAACGGAAGCGAACCCGGCGACCGTCGCACTGTCCAGACGCAGGGACCGCACAACTGGAACTCGATATGGAGGGCCCCGTCTGCGACGGTCAAGCTTTTTTCTTCTAAGGCCGCAAGGCCAACAATACGGAGAAGAGCGTGAGCCAATGGCCGGGGAAGTCTCCACTGGACGGGAACTATGTACAACTTGGATTTCTCAAAGTGGAAGATGAAGACGGTGGGGCCGTTTCTTCCATCACCATGTTTTTTTGTCCCTCCGTCTTTTCCCCCCCTCGAGGGTACGGCCATTTCACTTCTCCACTTTGCCAAGGAAGCTTCGCCACCACAAGAGGGGACCTTCAATTCGCAACTCACCGCGATGGAAGGAGAAAAAAAGAATGGAGAAACGGCCAATTTAGTTCTTCATTTTCAGAGTTATTGGCCTAGGTCATGACGGCGAGTCATCTAGATCATGGTGGGATAATCGTCGTATGGCTTTGTCAGCCCTGACCGTCTCGCGCTGTCTTTCTACTTCACGGCGGATGGAGAGGCAAGCAATACTGATCGAAAAATACCCGTCGTATAATATGTACGCCGTACTATCTATGCGTTGTGTTACGGATGCTTTAGTGGCTGTAATGCTGATTTCGTTGCGAGATTGGCGTATGAGTGTGAAATGTGAAATGCAGGGGGCAGATGTGGGTTCTTGGCACCGCCATGAATCAGAGGAAAACGAATTCGTGATGGGCAGCCGAGGGGACTCACGGCCAACAGGAGACGTGACGAACACTGGTGGAACGTGATAATAAACAGACTGAACCATTCGGTCCACGGGAAACATTGGATGGCGGGCGGCATGTGGGAATGGCAGCGGCAGGCAGATCCATGCCGTCCGATTGAGACCTGCGTCCTCCGAAGAAATGCTGCCGGATGCGCGTCTGAGAAACGTCGTCGTTGAGCCTGGAGGCAAAAACTGCCGGCCGACAGGCGCTACGCCGCTCGCAGCCGCACGCGGCATCTTGATGGCCCAAGCTGGAAGCTGCCGTGAAGGCAGCGAGAACTGGGAAGTGATGGTGTACCTAATACGCTGTACGGAGCTCTTAGGCGTGGCTTTCAAGGACTCGCTGACTGTGCAGCGGCTGACAGCCACATTAGTATCCGTAACAAGCAGCGGCTTGAGCTTGAGCTTCAGATCCAGACATTGAATGCCAGGCGTGCACTATTTAACTCCATCGTTTTATATTACTAGAGGATTGCCGTAGTATATATAGACGCTACCCTGCCCTCGAATTCTATACTATTTAACTTTAACCCTTTTTTTACTTATCCTTTTTTCTATTTTACCCTCTCCCTCGTTAAGGGATTATTAAAATCGTAGTTTTAATAATTTATTAATAAGTTAATATTACTATTTAAAAATAAGTAACTTATCTTTATATATAAGCGCTAAGAGTTTTATTATTATAAAAATAGTAATAGATATACTAGAGTACTTAAGAGAGCTTTTTAATAAATTTTTAATACTATTTAAAGCGATTATTTTCGAGCTATAAAAAGAAGCTAAAGTATTATATTAATATAGCTCTATTTATTTTATTAATATTAATAATACTTTTTTTAATATAGGATATATTAATAATACTTTATAATTATTTTATTATATTTTATAAATTATACTTAATATTAGCGAGGATTCTAATATTAGTTACTAAGTTTTTTATTAAAATTATTATTATAGGGTTAGTTTAGTTATTAATATTTTAATAAGTATTTTAACTTAGTATACTTAAAGGCTTTTATAGCTCTTAATTAGAGGTTTTTAAGGGACTTATAATTAGACTTTTTACTTATTATAAATAAAGCTATTATAATTAAAGTTATAATACTATTTACGGACCTTAATAGTAAGTAATTAGTAATATAGTTATCTTTCTTTTATAATAAGTTTAAAAAAGTATCTTAATTTAAGTACTAGGTAGGTATTATACTATTTTATTAAAACTATATTCTTATACTTATGATTTAGAAAGAATTAACTTTCTTTGATAACAAGGTACTCAGAATGCCAGGCGTGCCAACTTGGATTATTAAGGGGACTCCGCCAAGGCCCAGTGTGATGTCGGCGATGATGGCCAGAAAAGTGCTGGCGAGATTGGCACGAAATGAACAAAATATGGCGCCTGGCTCGCCTCGTCTCGCCTCACACGCCAAGGCCCGAATATACCAGCGCCTGCTTGCAAGTTGCGGGCACCGCACCGTGACTTGCCGCACGGCTCCAGACGGGAAGCAAGCCTGGAAACAGCAGGATCGTCGTCGCGCCGCCCGTTTTTCGTATCGGCATTCGTACGGTACTCGTGGGTACGAAGCAACACTGCTGCCAATACACGTCCGGTGCCCTGCACGTAGACCGGGCCTGGCCATCAGAGACTCAGGGCTTCGAGTGAGGTCTCCAGGACACACAGACGGGGACTTTCGGGGGCTTGCAACTGTTGCCTGTAAAGTCTTTCAGGGGCACAAAGCATCGGTGAGCAAGGCCTGGGAATTATAGGTTAGCTGATGCGCATCAGATCACTGGTGGTCGGTCGATGAGTCGTGAGTTTCTGAGGCACGGATGGGTAGGTACCTGTAGGTATGCACACGCACATCCGTTCACAAAGTGACACACTAGAACAGGAGGGAGTGAGAGGGAGCAATACCTAGACTCACTGAACAAGAATTGAAGGCATCGGAGTGCAGAGTAACCCGACGCTGGCTGGCAAGTTGCAACTCCGTACCTTACATTGCAGCGTCTTGGATTCTTGGCAGTGGAATGAGTCGACAGCGAATCAATCTCGATCAAGGGCCGAGGGAAAGGTGGAGCAGGATATCAATGCTGTCAACGGCCTGGGCCAGGAGAGACCCGTCTATGGTATCGTGTGGTCCAATCATCGGCAAAGCTGCTATTTTCTGCGTCTCTTCGCCCCCGTGGAGGTGCATCTGGACGAATGTGCCTGTGCCAGAAACAAGAAACTCGAATCCAGGGAATCAAGCGATCAACTTGGGCGCCTCCACGTGTCGATGGCGGTCGGGCTCAGCCCAGTGGGCAGATGGATGGAGCGAGTGGAGGAACTGCGATGCAAGTAAGCTCGACGGCCGCCAGCGTGCTCGTGCGTGCCCAATTCTTTCTGCCTGGAGATCAGGAAGCAATATTGTTGTCAGCGCGCAATTAAAACAGAAGGTAAATGCGTGGTGATGATGGCCAGAGTGTACGAGGATCCCGTTTGGGAGTTGATGGCAATGCAGCAGTCAAGAAATCAACCCCCAAGGCAATTCGTAAGTGCAGACAGTCACGCAGTGAGACTCGTCACTCACCCAATTGCTGCAAAGGCAACTGCAAAAAGAAGAAGAAGAAGGAGCAGTCCTGATGAAGTGGAGCCGCATGGCCCCTGTTTCAGCTCCGCCCCCCTGCTCCTTCCACCGGTTCTCACTGGCTTCCCACCTGGGTCCGAAATGTGGGTTCCTTCCCCGGGGCTGGCCGCTCCAAGTGCCCCACACCCTTGTCTTTCGCTCCTTCCCTTGGCCTGACATTTTTTTTTTTGTAGACTGGGGCAGGAACAGGAGGAAACACGCGCCTTCCATTGGGTGAAGCGAGGCAGGCATTGGCCGTTTGACGATCCGGCAGCGGGAAAGGTGTGAAGGTCTGGACTGAAAAGGAAAGGCGCCAAGGGGTGCATCTGTGGCCTGCAGGAGCGAATGTTCTTTCTCAGAGGAAGGAGTGACCTATTGGGCCAAGGAGTGGTAGTGCTTTGGAAGCAGGAGCGAGAAAAGACGGTAAAAAACAAATAACATGGTCATGGAAAATAATAGTAAAAAAAAATATCGGTGGCCGCAGACGCGACGGTGACATTTCTCTCCTCTTGGCTGCTGTTCGCCTCGTACTTACTTAACAAAACATCTCCTATTCGTATTTCTTCCTCCTACACTCACTTCCTCCTTCTGACCCTTTTCCTTCCTCTGAAAACCGCCCTCCTGTCACTACTATCCGCCATACTTGTTCATCTTTTCTTTTCGTCCGACACTCGCTTTTCACCAATTCAACCCCCTGATCACCAAATTCCTACTTCACGGTAGCCGTACCTGTGCTTACCACACCATCTCACCTCCTGGCCCTGGTCAACGTCCACACCATCAGCGCCCTTTTCGAGTTTAACTCCCGTCTAATATCCCAACCTCACACAAGGTCCCCCCTCCTTCTCTCACCATCTTCCCGACCAATTTCGTTACCCCTTCCAGCGCTACCGCTTCATATACCAAACACTCCCGCGCCAAAAGCTGCCTTACCGTCCTTACGTAGTACGGTCCTTACTCTTTTCGACCGACCATCCCTCACTCCCGCCGCCATCGCTGCCGATTGACGGACAGGGTCTGTCTATAATTGACAAGTTAGGAGCATATCAATAAGCTCCTTCTTCCCTTCCCGCTCCCCTTCTTCCTTTCCTCTCCCGGATATGCCACACCTCAACACCTCGGCCTACGAAGTTCCAACAATCAATATACCAACGAACGACTCCGGAGTCACGCCTCACATCATGGCTGAAGAAGGCGGCCACGCGCCTACGGGCGGTAACAACCACAACCCTGCGAGCGACAACCAGCACCACCAGGATTTCACCATCAAGCCGCGCATGACCGACTTCAACTCAGAAGAGCTGCGCGATACCATGTCCCCTACGGGCCCCATGACCCCGAACCCGTTTAGCAGAAAGAACACCAGCATTGACATTGACGACTACTTCACCGGTCCTCGCGACATTCTCAAGCACTCCAAATGGCCTCTGTTCATGCAAATGCACGGCAGCATTTTGCCCAAGATGATTGTTCCCCTGATCTGGATGTCTCTGTGGGCTGCCGCTATCACCGTCATCGACAAGTACCGTACGACTATGGGTGTCGACTCCGTCTTGCTTACCGTCCTGGGTTTCGTCGTCGGTTTGGGTCTTTCTTTCCGCAGTTCTACCGCCTATGAGCGCTACGCCGAGGGTCGTCGTTACTGGGCCCAGCTCATTCTTGCGACCCAGAGTCTTGGCCGCGTCTTCTGGATCCATGGTGGTGACAATGAGGGTATCGATCCTAGACAATCGCTGCTCCGCAAGGTTGGCTGCATGAACCTGCTCCTCGCCTTTTCCGTCTCCCTGAAGCACAAACTTCGCTTCGAACCCTACACCCAGTACGAGGACCTCGAGCATCTCGTCTCCCACATGACGACCTTTGCGCAAGAAGCCACGTCTGCCGAGCCCGAGAAGATGACCCTGAAGAAGAAGAACTTCTTCAAGGAGACTGGCGAGTACCTCGGTGTTTCTTTCGCCGCCAGCAACCCTCGTAAGACCATCAAGAAGGCCTCCCGTCCTCTCGGCAACCTGCCCCTCGAGATTCTCTCCCATATCTCTTGCCTCGTTGACAAGATGGTCGAGGATGGCCAGCTCAAGGTCCCTATGCAGCAGACTCTCGCCTACAACAACGTTGCCCTCCTGAACGACATCATGACCGGAACCGAGCGTGTCTTGACCACGCCTCTCCCCATTGCGTATGCCATCGCCATCAGCCAGATCACCTGGGTCTACGTTATGCTGCTTCCCTTCCAGCTGATTGACAAGCTCGGCTGGATCACCATTCCCGCCACCGTCGCTGCTTCCTACATCATTCTCGGTATCCTCTTTATCGGTCGCGAGATTGAGAACCCCTTCGGCGAGGACGTCAACGATTTGCCTCTTGAGGTCTACTGCGAACAGGTTGCCTCTGAACTGGACATTATCGCCTCATTCGAGAAGCGCGACCCCTACCGCTTCATGGAGTCTTCCCAGAACCTGCCCCTGTTCCCCGCTAGCATGGCTCCCTACCACATCTGGATGGGCCGTTCCGAGAACCGCGTCCGTGAGGCGATCAAGTCCAAGCACAACACCGTCTTTGAGTTCCGTAAGAAGGTCATTCTCGAAAAGGTGGCGTCAAGGGCCGGCAACACCGCAACAGAGAAGAAGCCTAGCAGCGAAGGCACTACTACTATTAACGGCGATCACAATGTCTAAACAGACCGCCTGTGCGTTCGCTTTGCTTCGAGTCTTTTCTTCATCTCTCTTCCTCCCCTCTATTTGCATCAGAAAGGGTTTGGGCGAGAGGGGTTTCAGCGATTTGCGTCAAGGAGCATTTACGGTACGGAAAAACAAAAGATTCTTTCATACATGGCCCCGACAGGTGGCTTTTTGCGGCATAGGAACGGTTTCGGATCTTTCTTTTCACTGTAATTACCTGATTCCTGGATGACATAAAAGGACAGGTGTGGTTTTGAGCGCGGCATTTCCTCTCATGGCATTGAGACGACAACAGAAACAACATACCAAAATTGAATGCAAAACATTTCAAAAAGAAGGACTTTCTTCAGAGTGCCGAGTGAACTATATTGAGCAATATGCATTCGTGTCTTGATCTCGCTGCTGACTCTCATACTCCGAATAGGCATTGCTCCTCCACCTTGACGACAAGATCCCATCCTCGATCTCGAAAGTCTGGGTCCTATCGAGTAACGGCGCGGGCCGCCCTCCGTAAAGTGGGTGTGCGAGTGGGTTTCCTCGGACCTCGATTAACTAGGGTCTGAGGCAGAACGTCAGACCAAGCGGAAACCAAATCAAACGTATAGCATATGCGCACGACTCTTACTTATAGGTTACCTTGGATCGAAACAAGGGGCCATTTCCTCACCTGCGAGAACCACGATGTCGACTCATGGGCCATTCTAGACTTTTGCGCAATACTTGATCTTGCGACTTTGCTTCCGCCCGGGGGCCCGGCGAATGGTAGTCGACCCAGGCTCAGAGCATCGGCCATGTTCATACCCCGGTCTTGCAGCCTCTCGGCGGTTTTCTCGGTATGGATATCATACTTGCCTACGGCAAGCCGAGCCGGCCGCCCGTCAATGTAGCGCCCGGCTCCGCGTTGTTTAGTTTGGGACCGGAAGGTGGATTTTGACGCCAATGGAGGGGAACGCCACGTAAACGCCACGAGAATCAGTGTCTTGGGACGGACCCGCCGGTGTAACCGAGATTTTTACATCATATCTGTCCACCTGCTCAAGCAGCCATGCCTGCCATGGTAGGGCTTTCATCTGACAAGGCGTGACAGGTCGATCTGGTCGATTCCGAGTCTTCGGACCAGATTTCCGGGTTCCCATCGATCGCCCCCAAGGGTCGCTTTCTCCACTTGGCTGAAGACACCGTCGCGCCTCACTACGTATGTGCCTTGTGTGCGTACTTTGGTGTGCGACAGGATCCACCGAAGAAATGGACTGAACGACTCATTCCCTACGACTCA